GTGTACTTGCTATTAAAATTAAGCTCTCACCAAACAAAACTTTTAAAGTGTACAGTAATAGCTTAGCAAAATAGGCCTACTGATCTAGGTACAATTGTGCCTGCTAAACCATAGCTAGATAACTTGATGAAATTGGGAAATTGTATCCTCAATCATTAATCCTACTTTATTTTATGTTGCCGAAAAGAATATTTGTAAAAGATCCTTTGATTTGTTGGTCTTCTGTTCTACATGAACCAGCCTACATCAGACAATAGAATGAACCGTGACAAGCAAATATTCCATGCTTTGGACTTTAGTACCCATTTTGTCCACTTTACTGGACAATGCAGCAAAGTGTGTTAAGTAGTTATTCACTATACCACTGAAATTGAAGAAGAAAAAAAAGGATTTTGATAAAGTACATTTTGGTGTCAACTTTGACAACTAAGCTAACTTTAGAACGTTTTGTTGTAAAATAGGGTTTATTGTAGTGTAGACTTAGTTTCTATTTGAACCTCTATTTAGATGCTTTTAATTACATTACTTTGAAGTATTTTTTACACCTTTGTTTGAATAGATACATTAGACAAGGAATGTCGTTTATGTCCACTTGAGTCTGGGAGATGATTGTAAAGAAAATTTTATTATGCAATTTCAAATATTTTCTCCAGCTTTGCTATTATTATCTTTCCTTTTGTTTCCTCAATAGATTCTGTCTCTTTCTTGAAACCAATTCATTTATTATTATTATATTATTATTAGGTAACCTACAAGAAAGTACATGTATTATTTTTTGTGGTTACTTAGTGAACAACAACATGTATTTACATATTAGAATGACCTAGCTTTCATTAAAGGTTGAAAATAATATGTTACTTGTGTACTATCAGAATATGCACGGTTTCTGTTCTCCAATTGAAATAATTGACCCCTGTGTTAAGTTTTTTTAAATGAATAATTGAATACATAAAAAAATTGAGTTAGGGTAGCTTTGAAGTGTAATTTTGTTTTGTTGATATGCCATCAACTCCTTTTTCAGATGGATACAGATACAATAGAAATGTTTACTATTAATATTCTTTTAATTTATAATGTTAATTAGGTGTACAGTACCGGCCAGTTTTATTGCAAAAATTCAACGCATTCAACCCGTTGCGTTTTCGTTGACAACGCGTTGGCGTTTTCGTTGGCGTTGTCGTTGAAACTGTTGACATCGTTGAGAGCTCAG